GTTATTTTTTTCATATTAACAATATTCACCATATCTTTCGTCTTTTGACTTGTTTCATTTTCCAAACTTCACAAAACACCTATCAGAAGGAAGAAACGAGTCCAGGATATCATAAGATCTTCCAATTTCCAGTTCCCCTGGGAAATGATCAAGAATAATTCTTGAACTTTTAAGAAAAGTTCATGAATTATATTCTTGAATCAGCTCATGCATTGTTCACGAAGATCCCATGAAGTTAAAATTGGACACTCCTGATTTCATGGATTTTATTCATGAAAACCAAGTTCAAGAATATTCAAGAATTATTTGTTGTTCATGAACAACCTTTTTTTTAAATGCCTGCAAAATAATCGAGAATAATTCTTTAAAATTCAAGAAAAGTTCATGAATTTTATTCAAGGAAAGTTCATGAATGATATTATTACGTTCAATGCATTTTCATGAACTATTCATGAATAATTTGTAAAAGTTATTTAGGAATGTTTATGAACTATTCTGAATGTTCTTGCTTTTTGTAAAAAAAAATGTAATAAGTTAATATGCAAAATGAAAAACTGTAAAAGAAAATATTTTAATAGCATCTTGAAAGATTTCACAGAGTTTTTGTTTTCCAATCATGGTAACAAAATCTTTGTTCAAGTAAACAACTCTGATAAGTGATAACGATAATAAACTATACCTTATTTTTGTCCTTCAACAAAAACGATGGGCTTTTCGATCCATAAAAATAAAGGAGCTTGTTACTTAATAAAAATTCAAAATTCATTATCTTTTAAGTTCTGATGATATAAAATTTTATCAATAATGAAACATAACAAGTCACTATATTCATCAAAGGCTACTGAAAGAGATATAACTCTTTCATGATTATTCAAAATATGCGAAAAACAAATGTTTTTCAATTAACTAAATTCTTATAAGGGGTCAAGAAGTGACCCCACGGCCCATAACTTTTAAATTTACCTTCTTATGCGTAACTCAAAACCGAACTCATTTTGAAGATGGTGATTAAAAAAATCACAGGCAAAAACTTTTTTCTGTATCGACCACCAAAATCCCTTTTATTTTAAGAAAGTCTATTTTCATGACCTAAATACCTGAAACAATGCTTGAGTAATTATTCTTGTGAAATATTACAAGAATTGCTTGTTTCTCTTTTGAGATAATGGAACATATGTGATTTCAAATTTAACATAGAAATCTCCATAGGCAATTTTAAAGGACAACTAGAAAGTACTCTTCATATACATACTAAAATTGAAACATAGGAGCATGTAAAACTGCAAACAGATGGACAAACGGAGATAACTCTTACGCAATTATTTTTTGACATCTGTATTTTTTGTGGCAAGACCTATCATTGGATACCATTACCTTGAACTTTTGACCTTGACTTTGAAAATGTACTTATGAAAAACCTTTAAAGAGATTAGGTAGAGTCACATATTTTTAAATTACGAAAATGTTAATAAAATATTTCATCCAGTTTGTTTTTAAAAAGATATTTAAAGCACTAATTAAAAAGAAAATTGGCCTACTTTTATACTTTACCATTGTATTTCCAGTGAAAACACCAATATATTACATTTTGAATTGAAGAAAAGTTTAGTCTTTGATATTTTGCCATACAGGGGGCATCAGTGTTTCACAAACACACCTTGTTTTTCGCCCCTTTTCAACAGTCAATCTGAAAGAATGTTAATTCTCCAATATACGCACTTCTTATGAGTTTTGATGGACATACTACTGATTGTTAAAAACATATATACAAGCGAAAATACAAAGAATTGCTTAATAGTTACCCCTTTTTAAAGATATACCAAAGGCTTTTTACAAGAATGTTGTCAATTTTGAGATTTTTGGCTAATCACAGGTATATAGTGCATGAAAAATAATTCTTGCTGATTATTAAATGGTTTACTAATTATTTAACAATAATCAATCATTAACACTACTACATGTTAATGTGCCGTTTTTGAAGCTTCTGATTTGATCACTAGTTACACAGAGGTTATCAGTGATTCAACTATATATCCCATTCTTGTAAATATTTTACTTAATTAAAAGCACTTAATATAGAAATGAACCTCCCATTCTTGTTTATATTTTACTTAATTAAAAGCACTTAATATAGAACAGAACCTCCCATTCTTGTAAATATGCAAAGGAAATATTGATAAGTGACAGGTATCTAAAGCTTAATCTCCATGGTGTCATATATTTCTAACTTTGGCAGAATTTGTTGTGTAACAAGTTTTTGCCCTCTGAAATAAAGTAAGATCAGACAGTTGCTGGTATTATTTGAAAGGACTCAGATCCCTTATTTTTTACCTTTTTCTTGAAAACTGGCTAGTTTGCGGCTCAAATGTATGTTCACAAAACCGTATCGCAGATATTTGATATTTTGCTTAGTTCTCGAATTATTGGGGGAAATGTAGAATTAGGCTAATAAATTGGTCACATTGAAGGACAATTGGATGTAACTTTTGAATTAAAAGATTTATATAAAAAAGATACGGTTTCTAAGTTGAATCCTATTTCTACATTGTGGCAAAATTATGACTTTGAGAGGTGGAATACAAAAAAGGTTGATTTATAAGATATAGATCCACTTATATTTACATTAAAATATTAATAATTTTTAATTAGATAAAATGAAAGTTTAAATTAGGATCATTAATAAGTAAATTTAACAAGCTTTCAAATGATATACACTTTTGATAAGTTATGTTTGATATTGAGAGAATTACAAGCAAATTAACTATTGCCCTTTGGAAACCTTTGGTGTATCCTCAACATGATAAACTTTGTTGGATAACTAAAGTGCTTCGTTTTTATAGATGCTTGGTTATAAAATATTTTGACAGGTTTTTCAATCCTTTTGTTGCCATTTCGTGGCAAGTTCTATGGTCGATACAATGACCTTGTCAGCAAATACAATTTATCACTGTGTATGCTGACTAACATTTTACATACTAATTGAGAACTAGTCCATTATTTATACACTGAATTGAGGACGGATTTTTTCCGTTATTTCCTGATTATGACAAGGAGCACACGGCGGGTGTGACCGGTCGGCAGGGGGTGCTCACTCCTCCATGGCACCTGATCCCACCTCTGGTTTTCGGGGGTCCGTGTATCCTCTGCTCTTATTTAGTATTGTTTATAGACTTTGAGAAAAAATACTGTTCGTTATCTCCACATCCTTTTTGCCATACATTTGAAGCAATACATCTTATACTCTTGCATAAAGGATATAAACATTTATCTTCCGATGATTCGATATGCAAGAGCATATTGTACAACTGCTCTTACATAGAAAATGCTCTTATTCTATAAATAAAGGATTGACAATAGGGATGCTGAAATCATGCTTATCACAAAGTTTTGTTATTAATTTACCATTAGCGTTTTTTCTAACAAAATATCTAAAATGTTTAAGATTCTGTGGTATCTTATTTCGACTTCAAGGGGATATATCGAATCAACGTATGAATATTGATGTAAAAATAATATTGTTGATTAATACAACATCATTCGATATATTTAAATATCCGATTGGATGCCATAACATGGGACTCTTATCATTAAGAATTTACAGCCATAAAAAAAAACCCCCATTTTTATATAGAAATTATTTTTTACCATTTGTTAATTATTTGGACCCACTGCGGTAGTAGGTAAATGCTATGTTGAAAATATACGTTTACAGTGTATACTAGTATTTTTCAGCATTTAATAATAAAAGCTAGCAAGGAAGTTGTGGAAACGATTACTTTTATTTTACTATCAGTTCTCTTTAAACATTAATTCGAAATATCGAATGTTCCTGGTATGTCTACCCATGACCTAGGTTTTCTTACAAAAGATGACCTATCTTTCAAAAACAGTAGTCTTTCTAACTAAAGGTACATTATACGTATAAGGCAAACGGCAATAAATTAAAGCAATCATTGAGCCAGTATTATTTTGTAATCAATGCATCTACCCCTAATTAAATCTTAATTTAGCATTTAATAAGATGCGTTTAAAAATAACAAGAATGTTTTTTTTTTCTATTTAGAATTTAATTTCAGCTGGATAATCGATTGGAACAAAATAATTAGTGCATCTTCCATCCAGAAAATGAAGTATATTTTTCTCTTGCATACGTGGCCCTATATCCGGAAGCAATATTGACTTTGTCACCTTTCTTCAGTCGAACTAGAACCGTATTAGAGCCGCTACTCCAAAATTTCTGTGAAGTGATGGAATTATTGAATGCTGCATATCCTTTAAATTGGCCATTTACCCACAGGAAAGGATGAGTCATTTTATTTGGATCGGTTAGAGTTGCCCAGGTAAACACATAAGTCCCCTCAGAAGGTGCAGTGAAGATTCCTCTTGACTCATCATACGAATTCCCGTCGATGACGAGAACTGTATCAAAGATCCACGTTTCGTATGCTTTGTAATTTTTAGCAGCTGATTGATAAGCCGAAAATGCAACAATGCCTTAAAAAAACGAATAGAAAGAAACAATAATTTATAAAATTTATATGTATTATATATATACTTATATGCTTCGGTTTAAGTCTTCCTCTTTTCTCTAAATGTCATCTTTGCTAGCCAAGAGTTTCTGATACCGTACTCTCCTCATGAACCTTAGCATACGATGCTGAACGGATTGTTTTCGTCACATGATCTCGAATTTGAACATGTACACACAGTTTGCGTCATCAACAGAGGAAGTAACGTATTCAAATCATGAAAGATTTTTTTTAAAAATAACTAACAAGTAGGTATTGATTTTGCATTTGTTATCAGAAGTGCAAATCATCAATATAATTTGTTTTTCATATTTTGTACATATGTGTTGTTTACCTGCGTTTTTAATTCTCGAGAGTAAAGAGAAAACATTCTGATTATTTTTCAGATCGTATGCTAAGCTTTAAAGGAGAAGAGTATCAGAAACCCTTGGTGTGCGTAGATGTTTGCATATTTCCATTTCTGTTTGTTTTCTTTGTAATAACTCTTTGAAAGTTAGAAGACTATTTCTTCTGTCGGCATGTAAATTTCGCCAAGAAGTAAGTCAGGAGGTAAGTAGGCCTAATATGCATGTAAATCTCGTGCTTCTGTCTTAGTGTCTTACGCTAAGTAGGCATGAAACATGTATGCATGTAAATCTCGTGCGTTTGTCATTGTGTTCAACGTCTGTGGGCGCGGGGACTATTAATATTGACACGGGAAACCTTCTGTTATAATTAATCTATTTGATTACATTCTTAAAATCTAAAAACACAATTTTATTTCCCAATAAAATGGGGATATATGGAATCATTGTCTAATTAATAAAGTATGCAAAGGGCATCAACAAAATTGGAAACGTGGGATATTTTTTGCATAACGGCCTTCGCTCAATGAAGCTTGCAGTACCTTAAATTGATAAAATTATTTCCTTTCTAGATATCATGGACAAAAGATCTCCACCACTGGGTTATTACAAGCATATGATTTTCCTATGAATTCGTTACCTTCCTTGGTTTCCTTATGACAATCACACTTTGGCACCCAATCCATTTCCCGGCAGACATTTTTGTAGGTGGCGTAGTCATGGCGGAAAGTCTTTGGTTTTGGAGAGTCACCCCTGGTCATGATGATCATGCACAAAATTGCAACATGTAACAGCACCGTCCTTGTATTCATTGCTTCAAATACAATTAGGGAACTGGATACCAATTTTAGATCTAAACAAGATGTGTTTGTGAAACACTGATGTCCCTGTATGGCAGCTAATAGAGAGGGTTGGAGTTTCTCAAAGTGAATTTTATACAAGACATACTCCAAGATCAAGTATAATGAGACAAAATTGTTGGTATCTAAATGACGGTCTTTTCACAAGAAATATACACGTGAAATATAAAAACCCTGGAACTGATTGTTCAAAAGTTATGGCCAAGGATAAAGGTTTTCTTAAAGTTGGTCAAACTCTAATTATAAGGTCAAAAAATCAAAAATATTTATACATATTGGAAGTTCATATCACAATGAATCTAAAGTATGAAAACCCTACGTCTAACTGTTCAAGCTTTAAGCGAAACTGCAAATTCAGAGTCAGAACATGATACCTTAAGAAAGGCTTCGTTGCAAAGAACTTGTGAAATATGAAATCCATAGTCCCAGCCACTCAAAAAATACTCAGCATGGGCAAGGTTAAAGTTTTTAAAGACAAACAGATGAGCTGACAAACAGATAAACCTACAAACAGACAGATAAACGGATGGACAGGACAAAAACTATAAACTACCGAATCTTCGATTACGTGGGAATTTAAAAAAATGAAAATAGAATGTAACACTTCTTCAAACATTGTTTAAAGTGATGCATAAAAAACAGAAAAAAGAATACCTGAATACACAATCAGTGTGATTTCATTTTTACAATTGCTAAAAAAATACACATATTTTTAAATTAAAGCCCTTTTGTGATTCCTTGCATATGCCCAAAATGTAATCAAAATGAAAATAAATATGACTTGTTGGTTACTTATATCCTTCTAATCAATATATATAACTGAAAACTTTACATGCAATATCATTATTAACACGCTAGGCGTCTCCATATGAGTGAAAAATTCTCGAGAGGGACGTTAAACAACATACAATCAATCAATTAATATTAACACGATATATCTTAGTGTATCCAAAATTCCATTTACTTAGTGCTTAATAAATTGATTTCATATACATAATTTAATTTAGTAAATTTTTTTTTAATGTCTCGTTAGGTCTTACCAGGAGTCGTGATACCCAAATCATTGTATAATCCAATTTCAAAAGAGAGGAAATTGGTATACATGTTACATAACTTGTGGTTAAGTGAAATAAGGTCAACTGCATTTTCTCTCTTTTATTTTAAATACAAATCTTGATCTCCCAGTTTTGCAGGGTCTCTCAGGCCGAACTTATCGCCAGAATTTCCTTTTCCAATTGTAGAACAATGAATTAGAAGCATAACTACTCTCTCAAAATAATTAACTTTTTTAAAACCCTGACGGTATACCCTCCAGACCATTTTTATCATTTTCAAGCTAAGCGGTAGAAGATATAGGAAGAACATCTCCCCTAAAAAGGGTTGCATGCAGAGCAGAGTGAGATTTTGGACCGCTTCACTTGTCTTTCCGAATAGCTCAAAAAACTGTAGGAGGCATAGATATGATATTATATATATTCAATTTCAGTTTTGTTTCCAAGTGATGAACTGAAGTATTTTTTAATTCGAAACGAAATTTTGTCCAATTGACTAGAGTTTTAATCCGACACCCGGCATGGTTTTTCCAATATCATCCAATGTATATGTTTTATTGTATCCAATTGAAATGCTATTTGGTTAAGCAGCATGTTTCCCTAGTCTTGTTGCCTAAGTTTCTTATTTCCGCTTTTTTTTTTTGGGGGGGGGGCGGTAAATTATGTTTCAAAAAGAAGTACAAGCACTCATCTCTTCAATTATTCAGTTTTGCATAAACAAACTGAAGACTTTATTTTTGCTTTGAAATGAATTCTATCAGTTATAAGACAAATATTCTTGATCAATTAGGATCGACGTTGTTGTTTTGTGGTAAGGTTAATAAAATTTTATTTTGTTCTCTTCTTGAAAATAAGTCATTAAATTGCTAAATAAAACTAAACAATGTTTGACCTTGCCATTACCATTATTAATTTAAGCAAAAGCCAAACTCATTCTAACATCCTCTTACATATAAACATATTACACTACGTTTTCTCGTCCTTGTATTTGTGTTTATAACTACAACTAAAAAATCAAAAGCTGTAATTCATGACAAAGCATCATTTAAAAATACTTAACGAGGCTGGGGGTGGAAGCCATTTTTAGACTATTTCAATCTCCTTTAAAAGGAGAGCTCAATATAAAGATATACAAAAATAATCAAATTTTAAAACTAAAATTTTTGAATTTTTTCTTTGTCAAATGAAAGTTGAAAGCTAAAGATACCGTATAAAAAAATAAGTTAAATCTGATTGTTAATTTGGGATTACAATGTAATTTGTTGACCCACCAGCCTCCTAAATAATAACTCAACGCAACCAACATCTTCTACGGTTGTAAATTCATGTGTCAGTAAGCACACTTCAAAACACATGTTTGTGTTTGTGGAGTTTTCAAGTCTTTCGTTCTCAATTTCGTGTTAAAAATGCGAGTTTCAGCTATCCGTATAGCAGCACAGTTAACAAAATCCTGAAACATAATTTCAGAAAAGTAGGAATAGTCAGGAAAACTTCAATTAAAAAAATGTACTTTGTAATTTATCAATATATAATCCAAAACTTGTAAGAAAATTACATTCATTAAGAAATAATGGCAACACATAACGGTCGACCATTCTATACTCGAGACCGTCAAATCTGCAGTGGTTGTCAGAAAGAGTACTGAGGGGTTGGTGGTATGCTAATTGTCACAATGCCAACCTGAATGGTTTGTGTCTGAAAGACATCTCACCTCTTTCCCTTACGGCGTTAACTGGTACCACTGGCTTGGCATCTTTACTCATTGAACACTACATACCGTATAGCGGGTAATTTTAGCGGGGTGCTAATTTTGGCTTATTTTGGCGTTTTGGTGTTGGCCCGCTAAAATTTTAATCGCTAAAATAGTAAGTTCATAGTAAGTTCTCGTCTGCAAGGAGCTGAAACACTTTGTCCGCTAAAATAAATTACGCCAAAATCAATTGCATACCTTTGAGCAGGTAAAACGCCAAATTTTACACCCGCCAAGAAAACCCGCTATACGGTAACTGAAAATTCAAAACAGTAGATAGAAGCATTACACTATTATGTACAACTCGATATTGAATTAAAAAACTTTAAATAGTGAATGAAGTTTATCACAAAGGCTTGTGTCAATGCAGAAAGATAAAATAATGGTTATTATTCAATTTTTCAGGTCCAGCCTTTAAAAAAACATTCATTTATCCCTTACTCTACCACCGCAATAAACATTTTCAAAAGCTGACAAGATATTTGTTATTAAACTCAAACTAGGTTGAATAATTTTTTATAATAAATTAAACTTGTCATAATATTTCTTTAATTCAATAAGTTTACTATGTTATTTTTCGGTAGGAACAATGATCTCAAAACAAAACTTTTCCTGCAGGCAGCAAATATACAGAATAAGGAGTTCAGAGGTTATTCAGTGTTTCAAGAACCTTCTCTAACACCGATGATTTCGTATAAAATTGAACTCAAAGTTATCACCATTGCTAATTTTGATTACAGTAAAAAGTACATTTGAAATTGCACGGAAATATATTTTGTTGTTATACAATCTCAAACCGGTCACGGTAGCCTAGTGGTAGAGCGTTCGCTTCGTGATCGGGAGGCCCGGGTTCGATTCTCGTTCGCGGCGCCGCGTCATACCTAAGACGTAAACAAAGGTAGTGACTGTTCCTTCGCCAAGCGCTCGACACTAGAAGTGAAAGTCACGGGTCTTTCGGATATGACCTTAAAAACGTAGGTCCCGTGTCACGGTAGGCGCTGGCACGATAAAGAACCCTCACTGCTCAATGGCCCTGAGTACCGAGTATAGGTCTAAATTTGAAGCCCTTCACCGGCATACGGTGACGTCTCCATATGAGTGAAAAATTCTCAAGAGGGACGTTAAACAATATACAATCAATCAATATACAATCTCAAGTTTAAGTTGATGAATATTTTGTTCAATATGACCTTGTATTATGCTGTATTTATGAAATGTGATGAAAGCATACCGTTATTAATGATTTAAGTCATACAAACAATACACGATCAGGAGCATATACCAAGCACTTTACCCTGCAGGTAAAGGTATTTGTGCAGATAGCACAATATATTTGTGATCAATGTTTTTATCATGTTAATTGTGTTGCATGAAATTTAGTCTCAAAAACCTTATAATGTTTTACACGTATGTTCAATTTATTAAATGGATGGCAAACACTTAATATAAGGAAGAAGTTCAGATTAATGCAAAAAAGCACTCGCACAGCCCATTCCAACACAGTTATTATAAGGATTGGGTATGGAACGCCGTCACTGCCTTATAGCAGAACACAGCAATTGCATTGCGTCATCCTTCCATTACATTATGTCAACACTTTATGACATTTACACACACTGCTATTGCATTGTGTCAACCTTCCATTACATTATGTCAACTCTTTATGATATTTACTCAACCTACTATTGTATTGTGTCAACCTTTCATTACATTATGTCAACTCTTTATGATATAAACCCACAATACTATTGCATTTTGTCAGCATTTCATTACATTTTGTCAACTCTTTATGATATTAACCCAAATACTATGGCATTATGTCAACCTTCCATTATATTATGTCAATTCTTTATGACATTAGTCCACACTACTATTGCATTGCGTCAATCTTTCAGTACATTATGTCAACTCTTTATGACATTAATCCACAATACTATTGCATTATGTCAACCTTCCATTATATTATGTAAGCTCTTTATGACATTAGTCCACACTACTATTGCATTGTGTAATCTTTCATTACATTATGTCAACTCTTTTTCACATTTACACACACTACTATTGCGATATGTCAACTTTCCATTACATTATGTTTAGTC